TAAATACTTAACACAAGGAGCAAATCAAATGTAAAGTTAAAATTTTACAGAAAAGGATTAACAAAACAAATGTGGACCCGATCCTGCAAGACATAGCACATACACAGACTGCTGCACCAGCTGCTGACTTGAATCGGGCTCTGTCTGAGCACAGCAGTCTGCCTGCACACTACAAGTGAAATCTGGACCCATTGAAGACAACTGGAGTTTTGCCACTGATTAAAATGGGACCAACGTTTCACCCTATACATTGCAGGATGGTGCCCTAAAAGTTAATTTGAGATTCTGCTCAGCCCCGTTCTGCAGTTCTTCTCACTGATGTTTTTACATATGCTCAGTCTGGAGGTTTGCTCTGTAGCTCAGGCTTGCTCTGTATCATTGCATGAGACCTCTCACTTCGTATGTGGGAGGAATGGATTTTTAATGAGCACATAATTAGTGCTCAACAAATAATAAATAACATATGCAATTAGCACACAGGGAATTTGGTTTTTGGCAACATGAAAAAGTTGTTCTTTCAATAGTCAAATCATTGGCAGCTCAGTCCTGCAAGATGCAGACTCATTTGGCCTGATCTGGCAAAGCATTGAAGCACATGTTTAAGTCAAATGGGACATAAGCATCACTTTAAAGTTAAGCACGTGATTAAGTGCTTTGATGGATCAGGCCATACGGAGCAGCACTTTGCAGGACTGGAGCATAGCAATTTTTCTATGAAAAGTTTCAAGGCGTAGAATTATTTAAAAGAATAATCATTTAAAAGTACTATAACATACTAACCATGGAATGAACTCCATGATATAAAAATAACAGTAATACCTAGTACTTACAGAGTACTTCACACTTACAAAGCACTTTATCAACATTAACTAATTAATGTTATAGGTCAGTGTTCTATCAAACTAAAGCTATTAGAACTGTCACCCATCAGGGATCTTCTAGGTGTACCTAATCCTGCATAAGGGTGGGGTGGTGGGCTAGATCATCTCTTGAGGTCCCTTCTAGCTTTATAAGTCTCTGATTCTAACATTTTACATTTCTATAGCACCTCTCATCCCAAAGCACTTTACAATTATATTCATACAGCACTGGTCAAATGCAGCCATCTGTGGGATGGAAGCTGGCTGCCTCCTGCCAAACAGTGTACTGCAGAACTGGAAGCAAAATGGGAACTTTTGGCTAAGGACACCAGAATCTTTAATATTTTTGCAGAGCAGATGGGAACCTCAATTTTTAAGGTCTTATAATAAAGATCCACCCACAATAAACTACATGGAACTCTACTTCAAAAGGATGAAGCATTGTCCATGGCTGCTAAAGTGTCAACATTTCCTGTTTGGGAATTGGGAACAACTTCATGAGCTGCACAATCCAAAGTTTCCACTGGTGGGCAGTCATGGAGGCAAATTTACTTCTGGATAAAGCTGTACACTTTACAGAGACTTCCCTTTTGTTGTAGTAATCCTTAGTATTTCCCATGTTATCTGTAAGTCACCACCCAAAAGATAAGATGACTAAACAGTAATGAAATATGGAAATTTCTGTCTCCAAATCACCAGTTCAAATTCGGGCCTATTTCAATATGCACATGAACATTATTAACACTCACTTGACAGGGGTTTGGTGGTCTATGTGAAATGCATTGCGAACCTCAGACCAGTTTGTATTGGAAAGATGTCCACATCACAAAAAACAGCATCCTAATTGCCACTATTATGCCCAAGCCAGGGTCAACTCTGTATTCAGATCAACTCCAGGCACTCCTATGACCTTTTGATAGTTTCTCCTGAATCAATGTAATTTAAAAAGTTTAAGCCAACTCATGTGCTATATCTCCCTCAACATTAAAGAAAATAATCCATAATTCCTAAAGGCCCAAGCTTAGCCTGAATGTACACCTGATGGCGTCTTAGTTCAATATCAAGTAACAGAGAAAAAGGACTAAGTTAAGAGCCACCTGTTTATGAAGTTAGAGTGTTGGAAGGTTGTTTTCTTTAATAAACAGTCACAACTCCTGGCTTCTAAAGTTAAATTTTGTACCTGTTCACTCATGCTGTTAATTCCATCTGGCCCCAGCAAAGATATGGCCTGTTTAACTAGATCCGTTCGGCCGCAGTTCAGCATTCGGAATCCCAGATCCTGCTTGAATTTAGCTTCTGTGGCTACTGCGTCCAGTTTTCGAGAAGCACAGAAGCAGTCGTCGATTCTGCAAATTGTGAGAAATAGCTACATCAGAGGACAATCAGAGGACAGACATCATCATTTATGGCATCACTGTTTCACTTTACCGTTGAATGATGCAGGTCTCCCCTTCCCCCCACACCACCACTCTCACACTGTCACCCTCTTGCCCTCTTGATATTCCTTTGAACCAGCTGCAGCACTGAAGCGCTGGATGTGAAATGCTAATGCAAGTTAATGCCTTTTATTGTTCATGTTGTTTACTTTAAGTCAACGGTGAAAGGTAGCTTTTAGTCCATCTTTTCTATTTTCTCCTACTTATGTGTGTTAGGAGAAACCAGGTATATTGTTCTCACTGCACATTAGTTCTCCTCATCGGGAGAACAGTCCAAACCTTGTGATCCCTGCAAAATTCCCATCGACTTCAGTGGGCTTTGAGTCTGGCCCGGGGGGAGATGGCCTTTAATCATAGATGCTTAAACAAAAAGAATAAAGTATCATTCCAAAGGCTTGACAAATGATATGAATTCAGCTCTGCTAAAAGATAACTCCTTCCAGGGCAGAAGGTGGCAGCTCGAGGACAACCAGTGCTCAGCACACTGCACACCAGAAGAGGAGGACAGCAATTTTGGCCAGGTAACCAGGACAAACTTCCCATCCTTACAAGCAGTGCCATGGAATCTTCAATGTTCACACCGAGTAGTTAAGACATCAGTTTCTACGGTCTTATTCTAAAGATCCTCAAGCAGCAAACTGTGGGGAGCTCAGTGTATCTACTTCAGAAGGATGAAGGCCTGGGTCTATCCAGTCAGGATTTGAAGTTGCAGATCCAGAGAGGACAGCCATTTCAAATCTGATTCTTACACAACTCAGCCTCATCTTGTTAAGGAACAGACACATTTTTCTTTCATGCTGATACGTGTTTGGGAAGGGGTGGGGTGTGGAGTCCAATTTCTCAGCACTCTGGCCTGTATTCTGCTGTATAGTTGTAAGGGACAGCACCACTTGAGTTCTAAAGCCTTCCACTAACAGCAAGTCAGTAAGGAATGGAGTAATTGGGAACGGAGAGTCTAAATAAGGATCAAAAGGGAAAATGCCAAATGTAGGTCTAGGAGTATTTTTATTCTAATAAATTACTTAATAAATATCAAATAAAAGTGAGAATAAATCTTTGGCATCTATATAACAATTTTCATCATATAGATTATAGAATAATATAATAGAGAATGTATACCTCTACATAATATATGATTAGGGTTTTTGATTTTAGGTTTTAATTGATAAACACCTACACCCATCCCCCTTCCCCCCAAAAAATTAAATCAGTGTTTTTACAAAAAAAACCCACCAAAAACAACAGAAATGGTTACTTGTATCTAAGGACTCATCTACACAGAGCAGTAATGCTGACTATGGGGATGTGATTTCTAAAGCACACTAACGTGTTGCTCATTAATTGGTCTGTGTAGACCCTGCTGGTGCACACTAAAGGTTCCCTAATGTGTTTTAATGTAGTGCTGTTTGAAACTGTACAACAGTAAAACACCCTAGAAAACATTACAAAGAGATTACTCATTAAGGTATGTACAAAGAGAAAGCCCCATAAAACCCCCGATTTTAGGACATCTACATAGAACTAAAAAATGGATGCAGACAAAATAAGCACTGGACAGTTCCATCATTACTCAATGGCACAAGGATGAAACTTTATCACATTAATTAATTCGTAAGATTACTTAAGATTACTGCACAGCACACAATCACAGAAAATATCAAGTAATGGCAATAACAGATTCTCCCGGAATAATATGCCTACAACACAGGTTAAAAAGCAAATCCATAATAATACTGTCTTTGCACAATAGTTGAAGCCAATTTTAAAAAGCACAAACATGCAGGACTCAGGTCAATGACACTGAGAGACCTGGGAGCAATCACTGCTTTACTAGTTCACACAGTATGCCACATGTTTGGCACCTAAACTACAGCTGCATTTGTTACTCCTAACAAGAGCCCTACCAAATTCACGGTCCATTTTGGTCAATTTCACGGTCATAGGATTTTAAAAATTGTAAATGTCATGATTTCAGCTATTTAAATCTGAAATTTCACAATGTTGTAATTGTAGGGGTCCTGACCCAAAAAGGAGTTGTAGGGTGGTCACAAGGTTACTGTGGGGGGGTGGTGGTGGTACTGTTACCCTTACTTCTGCGCTGCTGCTGGCGGTGGCACTGCCTTCAGAGCTGGGCAGCTGGAGAGCGGTGGCTGCTGGCTGGGAGTCCAGTTCTGAAGGCAGAGCCGCCACCAGCAGCAACGCAGAAGTAAGGATGGCGTGATATGGTATTGCCACCCTTACTTCTGTGCTGCTGCCTTCAGAGCTGGGCCCTCAATCAGCAGCCGCCATTCTCCGGCCACCCATCTCCGAAGGCAGATGCGCAGAAGTAAGAGTTGCATGGTATGGTATTGACACCCTTACTTCTGTGTTGCTGATGGTGGAGTGTTGCCTTCAAAGCTAGGCACCTGGCCAACAGCTACCGCTCTCTGACTGTCCAGCTCTGAAGGCAGTGCAGAAGTAAAATAACCTTGCGACCCCCCCTGCAACTCCCTTTTGGATCAGGACCCCCAGTTTGAGAAACGCTGGTCTCCCCCGTGAAATCTGTATAGTATAGGGTAATAGCACACAAAAGACCAGATTTCACGGTGGGAGATCACATTTCATGGTCTGTGACGCGTTTTTCATGGCCGTGAATTTGATAGGGCCCTACTCTTAACATCATAGCATAAAATGCTAGAGATTGCATGTGTAATAAATATAAACATAATATAATATTTATTATAAAGATACTATAGGAGTTTGGGTGTTCAACATATTTGTCGGAGATTCTGAACTTCTGAATTTTAGTTGAACTTTTCCAGATTTCTCAGGCCTAACAGAATATGGTCCAAATGGCTGACAAACAGCCACAGAAAGATTTAGAAAATATCTGAAAACTGCAAAAGCATCTGCCACCAGGAATGACTGCTTACATTCAACCATTTCTTCACTATTTACACATATATGCATATAATAAGCAAACTAAATATATAACAGGCCAAATTCAAGGCTGGTATATGCAGGCACAGCACCACTGAAGTCAATTTAGTTTGCTGCATGCAAAGTATTACTAAATGGGCTTCTTCATAAAAGAATTAGGTATGAATTGCACAATACACTCACACAAGGCAATAAGGAGGAGTACACACTTCTCTTACATCCTTATGTGGGTTACAAGACCTGGAGTCTGGGGGAGTAGGAGTTAGTTATTCCTCCCCAGAATAGAAGATTGGAACCTGGGGTCCATCTCCCTAACAGCTGGCCAGTGCACTGGAGCCAGCACAAAGGTGGAGGTCATAATTTACTCTTGATATAGGCCATCAGCAAATTTTCACTGCTCTATAACAAGGAGGCAGACAGGAAAGAATGCGGTGTCTGTCCATGACTAGGGCTCTTTGGTACTACAGTAATATAAATAAAATAATAAAATAAATAATAACAACAATAATAATAATAGTGACTCTGAGGTGTGTCTCTGAGCCATACTGACTCCGGGGGCTACTCCTGGGTGGTGCATGTTATACACCATTCTTTGCTTGGGGCTGTCGCCCAAATCTAAAGGTCTATTGTTTCCTGTGACGCAGTGACAAAATATTCCTGAAGGAAAACTGAAGAAATGTGAACTGGCAGAACTACCACAAGGTGAGTACAAAACTGATTAGAAAAAAACAAGCTCAGTGTGATTATTGATGGTTCAATGCCTTGTGGTATCCTACAGAGGATCCATCACTGGTGCATTGCTGCATCCATGGCTAGTGGGGATTCTGGTTCCAGCTGTGGTAGCAGAGAGAAATATCTGCTAGAATCCCACAGACAGTATTTAATATTTTGACTCATGGCCTGGATGAAAGAGTAAATAAATGGTCAAATTGGGGAGTGATTTTTTAAAAAGCAGGATGTGGGGAAGGGTAAATGCTTCTGAGGAGAAAATGCAACAAGATCTTGAAAAGTGAGAGTGATGAGTAGGTTGGAAAAAAATGAAATTCAATGAGGATAAATACAAAGTAGTCTTAGAGACAGAGCAAAAATTAGGAAACACAAGTACAGAATAGGAGAACATTGGTTCATTGGTAATACTGCAGAAAAATGACACATGGGTGGTACAGTAGCTGGAAAATGGAAAGGGAAGTGTAATATTTTACAAAAAACAAACAAACCCCCAAACCCCACACGAACAAAAGCAAACGGAACAAACCCCAAGCAAACACAGTATTGAGACCAATCTTGCAGTTCTCACTCATACAAGTAGCTGTATAGTCCCATTGAAACCAGTGGGACTATTCACATGAATAAATGCAGAAGGACTGAGGTCAATATTATGTTATATAAACAGAAGTTTAACAGAGAAAGACACTACAGTAATGGACACAGCATAGGAACCAAATAGAAGAGAATGTAAAATTAAGGTGGTAAGTGAGCCTGTACATGGCACATGACACAAGGTTTGCACACTGCTACAGGAAATATAGTGATGATTCAGAGAGGTCAGGAAAGGATGGCTAAAATACTAAAAATCTTGCAAAATACAACTTACAAGGAATGGTTAAGAGAGCTAAACATATAGGGCTATATTTTCAACAGTGCTTTTAAGGGTAATGACATGTGAAATTGTGTGTTCATAGAAACAGAAGTCTTTCCCTAAGTGTGATTGAAATGCCAATGCAAATAGAACTAAACAGCCCAACTGCATGGCCAATTTATGGCTCTTTCCCCCAAGAAGTATTTATAGTCTTCCAAACGGCACAGGACACAGATGTTAGCTGCATGGCAGGACATCCTACTGAAAGGCAAGGCCAGTCTGTTGCAACGAACTAGCCGCCTCCAAACAAACCTACAGCTGCTTACACATAAAGGAGTTGCAAAACCCTACCCACTTCTCTATCTTTCATCTGCCTCTTGTTCCTGCCCATCTCCTTCTGGGGCTGTGGAGA